CAGGGTGGCTAGCAGCACCTCGTCTAGGGCTGGCCTGTGGCACCTCGTCAGTACGGGCCAAAGTAACTCCGAGGTGAGGAGTGACCTTTCTCGAGGGCTCCCCGACTTGATTGAGGTCTAGGTGGTGACCTGCGAGATGTGCTCACCGACCAATTCTGCATGCATATCTCGTCACTCCTAGCTTTTTCGAAAGTTGGCCCCTACGCCGAATGTTTTGGAGGAAACTAAACAAGGAGCAAAGACTAGTCTACTTGCACGGCTACCTCTGAGGACTTCAGATCAGTTAGGCATGACCTCCCGGAGATCTCAAACACGATGCGTGAAACCCACACCAAACAATGCCTATATTGGCCTCACCTCCAACTTCAGATAGGTACGCGCGATTTAGTGCATTCTAGCTCTCTTAGTCTCAAGCTTTCATCTCGCACGCATCAGATATTAACTTAAGCATTAGAGTGACCACCCCGGGTTCTTTGAGCACTACTTCCTTGCAGTTTGACCGGCCAGCTAAGCAACCGACATTCGAGCTGCCATCCACCTAGGAGCAACTAGATCGTGTACCATCAATTGGCGCCATTTGTGGGAAACACAACAAAAAGCTAAGTTCTCACCTTCTAGTTTTCACCTTTATCAACTCAATGACATTTTTGAGCAKCACCAACATCAAGAACAAAGTATCAGCTATTGGGGGGCAAGAGCATTTGTGATGAACCTTGAGAACCCCTTTGTGACAATCAATTAAGTTCACTGACCTTATCATTTTCTGGAGTAGCAACCGTGCCGAACCCATAACTCTTATTACCCCATACAAGCACACTACTACCTCATGTGAGCGCCCCTCTCCCCGCGGTAGAGCCATCAATGGTTCTCATCGGGATTGAAGCGCGGCAATTTTATGAGCGGAAGCATGAATCTTCAGAGGTGGACATGGGAGGAGAAGTTCGGTGCATTCATGCCACCGCAGAATAATCAACAGCAGAACGACCAATAGTCCAATGATAGGCACCTCGGAGTAAGGCTGCCCCCGTAAGTCGAGCCCTTTGTGGTTCCCTCAGGAGTTGACGGCCAACAGACTGAGCATCTCTACCAACCTCAATTCAGCCCGGACGAACCTCGTCAGCTATGTTCGCAAGATCACCTCTACAGGTTGAGCCCTTCATGGCTCCCGCGGGAGTTGGCAGCCAATGAATTGTGTGGTCGCCCTTGCAGGTTGAGCCTCTCGAGGCTTCCATGCGAGTCAGTGACTTATGATTAGTAGAGCTACCCCCGCAGGTTGAGCTTTCTGTGGCTTCTCGTAGGAGTAGATGACCAACGTCACCAAGGGACTGATGCAGTGTAGCTGTGGCATTGACCTACCACCCAACATCGACAACAACAAACATATTGACAAAGCCATCATAAGGGGGATAGAATATGAACGACTAGCTCGGGCGAGCTTCAGGGATGATCCAGATTGTCTCTTAGATCGAACCAAGAAGCCTCACTATTGATCAAACTTTGTATGGCTCCCCTGAGAGTTGGTAGCAAACTGAATGTGGAACAAGCCTCATAGGTCGAGCCCTTCATGGTTTTCGTGAGAGTAGGCGACCCGTAGACAATAGAGCCACCCCCTCAAGGTGAGCTTCCCATAGCTCTAATAGGAGTGGACGACCAACAGTTCTAGGAGCAGGTGCAATACATGTACGCCATGGTCTCGCAAGCACCTACTCAAGGAAGCCAATCCCATGCAATGGCATAGAAGAAGCCACATTTAAAGATACTATGGAACGGCCATCCACTTTGGCGACCTGGTCAAATTGAGTTCTAAGGGAAAGCCAAACCGCTTTTTAGCTAAGGACCCCTCAAGCCAATCTCAAAGCATGACGACAACAGGTAGACCGATCTAAGCAGGTTGGCCCCCTATTTATCTAGCACGGCAACACGGATAAATCGATCTCAGAGGACATTGACATCTCACTGCCGACCCTAAAAAAAAAGAAAAGAGAAAAAGAAACAAAGGTAAGGAAGACTAGTTCATTTTCAGCATCGTGGAAGACATGGAAACTTGGCCGATCTCTTCATAGCCGACCTCCACCTCGATTTCAAGTTCCGCATTGACCTCGCCGGTTACTCTTTCAAGAACCGGCTTGAGGGACATTGTATTGTAGTCTACTTGAGTGGAGCGACCTGACGGACTTCGCTCTTGAGGTATTGGGCTAAATTGCAAAACTCCTTGATGGCTACATCCCTAGTAAGGTAGATGTCATTAGAGTACTTGCTCCTCGAGCGGATGAATTCACTCTTGCACCTCAATAATCAAGACAATGAGGTCCTACGAAAGGCTGCATTCAAGACTTAGACTCTTCCAACTTGTGGAGCAAACTGGACTGACGCCTACGGCTACGAGCTTATCAAATTAGTCACTCTGGGCCAAAGAAACAAGCTACTCCGTTCACTAAGCTGATCTTAGCTTGGGAGTGGGGGGCAATTGATGAGGGCGGATTTGGCCCTCCAGTGACATCATGACACATGGCATCTCAAAACAGCTGGATGACACCTCGACACCACCTAGGCGATTTCTTGCCTTAGCCAAAGTGATGGAGTCCGACCTGACAACTTACCTCCACCGACCTGGTGGAAATCTGGCTGGCGACCTCATCCACATTTCAGGGCGGCTAGCAGCACCTCGTCCAGGGCCAACCTGTGGCACCTTGTCGGTACGGGCTGAAGTAACCCCAAGGTGAGGAGCGACCTCCCTCGAGGGCTTCCTGACATGACTGACGTCCAAGTGGCAACCTATAAGTCGTGCTGACTGACCAATTCTACGTGCATATCCCGTCATTCCCAGGTTTCTTGGAAGTTCCCCCCGCGTCGAATGTTCTAGAGGAAATTGAACAAGGCGTGAAGACTAGTCTATGTGCACGACTACCTCCGAGGACTTCAGACCGGTTAGGCATGATTTCCTGGAGATCTCAAACACGATAAGTGAAACCCACACCAAACAACACTTATGTATAGGCCTTACCTCTAACTTTAGAAAGGTAAACGCGATTTAGTGCATTCTAGCTCTTTTACTCTCAAGGTTTTAGCTTGCACGCATTAGATACTAACTTAAGCATCGAAGTGACCACGTTGGATGAGCCACTCGGGTTCTCTGAACACTACTTCCTTGCAGTTTGACCGGCTAGCTAAACAACCGACGTCCGAACTACCATCCTGCTAGGAGCAACCAAATTGCGCACTATCAATGCTTTTTCTATAATTTTTATTTTTTGATTTTATTTTTCAATTTCTAAAATTTCTATATTTTGAAAATAATTTTTTATTTTGTTTGCAATTTATATATTTTTATATTTTCAGTTTCTATATTTTTATGTATTTTATATTTGAAAATATTTTTAAACTTTATCCGCTTTTCATGTTTAAATATTAAAATGGTAATATATTAATACTTGTTAATTTATTTTGTATATTTTTCTATAAAATTTAAAATGGTAATATATTAACACCCGTTAGTCCATTTAACGTTAAGGTGAGTTATGTGACACATGTCCCAGTTAATGTGTCTTTCATCCAAATGTTTTTGTTTCGTTAAAAAGAATTATCTATTATTCTATTATCTTTATCAAAATAATTAAAAATAAAAAATAATAAAAAAAAGTTTATATGTTACACACCTATTACGTGTTCATTCATTTTTTTACGTAACGTGCCTACTACATTATCCGATTGGATTCGGAATAATTTATCATTAACCTGCCACTATCTCTTTTTATATAAAATAATCATAATCTTCTCTCATATTCATGTTCCTTAAAGCTATTAAGCTGTGTTTGGTTTAATGAGATAAACATTATGTTTGTTGGATTTTAATCTCATCCAACTRGTTTGATTGACCAATTATATAAAAAATTGCACCTACACACTTGATTGAAAAATCAGTTTTTCTTTTACAAAACCCAATTTTAAACTTGTCCCACATTGAAAAATTATAAATTTTATTTTCAGTATTTCAATAGGAGTTGATTTACACTCCTTAGAATTAGTAGAGGAGAGTATGGGGATTCGATACCGTGCAACGTGTGCGCACGGACGTGTGCGCGTGTGTGCAGCACAATGAGGCGCTTTAGAAGCGCAACTTTGGTTTTGGTGTGTTGCTGATCGTTGATCATCGTTGATGAGATCAACGATCACGATTCGATCGGGTATGATCAAGAGGCACAATTCAAATTTAACAGTCACTAACTGTTAACTACTTTTTAAACAGTCACAATGTTTGAAATTGTGATTGTTCAAGGTGCCTTCTTTAAACCAATACCTACATTTTCTTCATACATCTTCACAAATTATTTAAGGAGCATGAATCAAACTCCAAAATACACAATTTCGAAATTCACTCACTCTTTCTCTCTCAGTCCGGTTTGCTAGAGTCTCATAGAAGGTTTCTTTGGAGACTCTTCAACTTTGCTAGTTGTAGATTCTCGCCCAAGACTATGTTGTATCATGGGAACGAATTTACCTATAACCCAATAGCAAACTCAATAAAACTGAGTGAGGGCAAATAACATTCTAAAGACAATGTCTTTAGATGCGCCTCGGAGCTTTTCCTCCAAAGTTACACTGACCCCATTTTTCCAACAAAGTTGAGGTTCTGTTTGTTTATAATTCAAATATACAAATCTTACAATTTACAAATCTGATAATTTTGTACCCAAACTACCCTCCTACCTCTATTCTTGTAGCGTAAAGACCTTATCAAACAATCAAGACAAAAAAATCTAAAGTAACAACCTGTTTCTCATGCATCTACACCAACAAGCAAACAGAGCCTATAGAAACTGAAAGACAAAAGGAAAGGTAAACCAAAATTTAATTACACTCATCAAATGCAAATGCAAATGAAATTTGCACTGCAGCCAATCAGATCATCATTGGATGGGCTCATTGAAGGGCTACACCAGTACAATGATCAACTTTCAAGCACCATGAAAAAACAAGTCTAAAGAAACAAAACCAGTCTCTCACACAGCATCTGGCAGAAGAAAATGCTGCAAGTATCTCAGACCATCATCAATGCCCAAATATCCCCAGCTAACCACACTCAATATACCCATACTCACCTTCTCCACCCTCCTCTTCTTATCACCATCACTCGCATAAGAGAACCCCAGTCCCAACTCTGCCACAAGACTACTTGATACCGCGTTCGAGCAACACCCTAGCGACGGGAGCTCCTCCGAGAACCACCGCTCGCCTGCCGCAACAAGCCTTCCTTTCTCCTTACGATCCATCATGGAGAAAACCCCTCTCCAACCTTTCAGTACTACCGTCCATGTGACTCTCACCTCTTCAGACATCTCTATTATCGATCTGTTGCCGCCGTGAAGCTCGATATCAAATCGGAATACCCCGTTCCAGCGGTTGTTGAGATCACTGCCAGATTTTACAAGAGTAAGGATGTTTGAATCGCCGTGGATGATGTCCATGGTGAAGATAAGATGATCGAGGGAGATGTGGGGTACTGAAGGGCTGCGTAGACGACGCCTGCATGAGCTCTGTCCCAGAGCGAATAGGCGATGATACGAGACGGCGCTGTCGAGGAGGCGAAGGGTGGAGAGGGAGGGGTAGTGAGTGAAGCATATGGGCTTCCAGAGGTGGTCTGAGGACATGCAGACGGACCACGACTTGCAGACACATGACGCCATAGCTAGAGTCTTGGGGTCAAGGTAGTGAGCAACGAGGAGGAGGACTTCCCATGCAGGAGGATGAGATGCAGACATGTTCACTTCCATTTTCCTTCTCTTCTTCTGGTGTGTTCACTTGATTGGGGGCTGAGCAGTGGCTGCAGTGCACAAGCCAGAAGTACAGAACGAGAATTTTTGGTCGGTTGTCTCTGTTCATCGTTCGGTTGGGGTCTTGGTCATCAGTCTGGGCGGCTTCCAACTGACGTGTGTCGTTGGCAGGTGACTACGTGTGTCGGTTGGGGTCTTGGTCATCAGTCTGGGCGGTTTCTGTTGATCGGTTCAGTTGGCTTATGTGTTACATCTTATGACTGACACGTTTGGGTTAAGGTTTAGGAATAAAGTGTTTTTTTAGGGGCAATTTTGGCATTGGAGTCGCATAAATAATGCCTGCATAATCAGATCTGTGATCTTTGGGCTGTTTCTATGGTGAGACCATGTTTGTTTGAAGTGATTAATAGTGAATTGCCATTTTTAAGGCCTCGTTTTTTTCGATAGAATGGGAAAAAGCATGATTTTTAAAATTAGACCGGACCGGACGGTCAGATCGGAAAAACCAAGAATAGGTCAGGTGACCGGTTTTAGTTTTCCCAAAACTGAAATWTTTTCAAAAGTTGTTGATTTTAGTCAACAAACCGCTGATTTGGACGGTTAATTGTTCAAACGGTTTTGATTATTTTTTATTTTTTTTAATTTTTTCTTTTTTATCAAAACAGGCTGACCGTTTAAATCAAATAAAAACCATGGGAAAAAGTACAAACAATTTAAAATCGACAAAGTTCAAATTGGAGAATTAGATAACTATGAGCCTGATTTGCTAACCAATCTGCGTCTTTGTTGGATTCTTTGGAATCATGATGATAATCTAGATCTCCATCGAATCTTGATATCATATTCTTCAATGCTTGACTTCAATTTCTAAGGGGCTTGATTCTCAACGCCTCGTTTGTTTGTAATGTATTTTCATTTGTACTTGTGCAAAGTAAAATTTGATTGGTTTATATTTTATTTTTCGTGATGAATTACATTATAGTGCAAAAATAAAATAAAACTTAAAGCAAAGCAAAATTTGAAGTGAAAACGAACAAAACCCCAATTTCTGTTATTTTTATTTTGCATTTTCATTCATTAACCGTATTAATGGCTGTATTTGATTGCATGGGAAATCTTATTTGGACTAGTATAAATATATGGGAGTTCTGAGTGCAACTAGGCCGAGTATTAATTCTGTTTCCTTTTGCCTCACGTTTGAGCTTGTGTGCTGTTCAAATAGGGTTTAGGGGGTTTTTAAGTTGTTTGTCTTTAACTCGAGATTATCATTCTCAAGGAGGAAGAGATACACGGTTTGGTGGGGTTTAAGTGACTTGTATGTTTTTCTGGCTTTCTCATAAGATTTCATTGTGAAGGGAAGGGAAAATAGAGTTTGGGGTTTTTTTAGGTCACTTATTTTTTTTGTTAGCCCAAGATTCTCTTTCTCATTTCCAAATAGGTAGGCTGGTCATTCTCTCAAATACCTGCACATGCCATGGCAGTAAGAATTGAATACGTTTTTCATGTTCACTCCATCAAGCTAAATTCATTTCCTTTGAGTCAAAGGAATCACCTAAATTAAAAAAATTTGCTTGTAAATAAAAATTAAGTTTAGTAAATAAACTTGTTGATGATGTGGCAGTAGATTTCTTCCTCTTATTGGAGATCAAAATTTTTCTTTTCCACTATTGGAACTATTTGTTTCAAAAGTGGAAGTTGCACCTGTACAAGTTGCAGTTTTCTTATGCCTTATCATTTGAGATTCATATAAACTATACATCAAATAATAAATTATTAATTTCTTTTGTTATTTCCAATTTTAACATTCAAATTTTCACACAATATGATTCAAGTAAAATATCTAACCCATCTTTCCTAATCTTAAGATATGATATTATAGCTGAGCAATAAAGAGGAGAAATGTTCTTCCAATATTTTTTAAAATATATTTTCCATTATTTCAATAATACTTTTAAATTGTGAATGTTTTCTATATTTTGCAAAACATACACTAATCATAAATAAATGATTAACTAAAATAACTAGTTGTGCAATAAACACTCAAAAAATCATAGTTGTATTATAAAAATTTTGTAAAAAATCTTTTATACAAATGGTCATTTCCTAGTCTTCCTTAAATATAATATCATGTGGCATTTTTGCATTATAAAATTATTAAGAATTTGTTTGAAAGAAATACAACTTTCTAACATAGAATAGGTATAGTTTCATCTATGTTTTACATTTAAAACATTTTTTTATATATTTTAAACCCTAATTTGGACATAAATATTTGAGTTCTTGTTTTCTTATTCCAAAACTTCTAATATACAAAAACACAATTTCTAATTTTAGAAATATGAGGAAAAATAATATTTAAGCCATCTTGAGCACATAAATTTAAGATGTGACATGCACATCTAATATGAAATAATTTACCATTTAAACATKATTTTAATTGAGATTTTAAAATATTTATTGTTGAATCATTATTACTTGCATTATCAAAACTAATAGAAAAAAGTTTGTTTTCAATTCCATAATTATATAAAGTATTTAAAATACTTGCAACAATTGTTGGGCCAGTATGTGGCCATTTAAGCCTAGTAAAACTTAAAATTCTTTTTTGTAAAAGTCATTTTTCATTAATAAAATGACTAATAGCACGAATATAACTTATATCATTTTAGAGGTCTAAATATAAAAAGTAATTGCAACTCTAGAATTAAGATTTGATAAAATGGAAACTAAATTTTGTTTATATGAATAAAAAATTTTTAAAGCATCTAATCTAACAATATTTTTAGAAACTTTTTTAAATTGTGGATTTAAAGAATCTTGTAAAAATTTTTCAAGTTCAGTATATTCAGCTAATAAAAAATGGTTGTTAAGCATGTACAACATATTTTGCTAACTCTTGCCTCATTTTTTCTTGAGAATATTTAAAAGTATCAAAAACCTCATTCCCAATTTGTGTTGGTGAGGTTCCTTTCCCTTCTTCTTTTTCTTGTTTCTCATGGAAGAGTAAATGTCTGCCCAAGTGGCTAGTGCCACCTTTGCTACTATAACTAAAGTCACTCCTACATTTTTGGTAGATGGTTGTTTTTCCTTTCCCCTCAACATCTTCTATCCTAAATATTTTCCAAACCAGGATAGTCAACTTAGTACTCTTCTTTTTCATTCCCTTAGTAGCAATACTAAGGGTGGGAACTCTGACATCAATAGCATTCGTGCATATCAGTGCTGACACTATCGTGCTACGACTGAACATTATCGACATTGAACATGCTGGGGAATTGGTTTCAAAAGGAAGAGTCATCCATTTTTTTAAAATTTAAAAAAAAAATTAATTCAATTGCACTTACTCGAATTGTCAGTTCGAAATGTCAAATTGATATAACTTGATTGAGAAAGTCTTCTTGTTGAAACTTGAATAAAGTTGAGAATTGGAGAGTAGAGAGAGTATGAGAGTATAAAGAGCATAAGAACTGATGTGATGAGAATGGTGGATGATTGGGGTATTTATATGAATTGAAAATAATTTAACTACCCAAAATACCCTAAAAACTAGTAATTTTTAGTTGTTGGGAGAGGTATTTTGGTCATTATGAAGCCATTTATCACTTTACCCAAATGCCCCAAATTAGTAGTTATATAGTTATTGGGGGGCATTGTTGTCATTTTTTCTCCCCCCAAAGCCAAAATACTCCCTATATAGTTGTTGGGGGGGGGGGGTATTTCTATAAAAATTCCCCCTTAAAAAAGCAAAAACTTGTTGGGGGAGAGGGTGGGGTTCTAATGGCTAGTTTCCTTGGGCAGGCATGAGCAGCATGACCCTCTCAGTTGTACAATGTTGTGTTGGCCCATTGACCTAGAACCCCAAGCCCAATACAGCCCATCCCATCATGTCGTGCCCAACATGGCCCATATGCCGTCATGTCATGGGCGATACAACCCAATTTACAGCTCAAAACTGAAAACGTCAACTGCATCTTGAATCTTCATTTTATTCAATGTGGTTGCCCACCAAAAGACATGTTAGACTTGGGAGGCAAAAAGTTAAATGCTAAGACTTTACTTGCATTAATTGACTCAAACATTTTTTTTAGGAAAATTAAGCCCCTCATTTGTAAGAAGTACCTAGTGAGGATTAATTATCCCATAACCACATAGATACTTTTCCCTTATTTTGCTACAGATTTGCAACTGAAGCTTTAGGGACATGTTTTTTGGAGGTGAAGACTGGAGAACTGAGTGTCAACCATTTTGGAATTAGCATCCTACTCCATCTAATTTAGAGTCAAGGTAACAACAATGTCACCTTATATTTTTGTATATTATGTGGAGAAAACCTTTGCTCGAATGATTTGCAAGAGAGAGGAGATTGTAGAGAACTTAGGATTTAGAGCCTCCAAAAATTTGTTCCATAATCCCCCTATTTCAATTTTGATGATTGCATCATCTTTGCAAAGGCCACATTGAAAATAAGAGATTTTGGGGAAATATGCAAAAGCCTCAAGTCAAAACCCAAATTTTGCAAAATCAATCATAAAGTATTCTAAAAAAAATCATAGGAGGCAACAAAAAAATAACATAAAGAATTATGCAAAGAAAACAAGAGAGCTACTTAGGAGCCTCAATTATAAAGGCAAGAGTGAACAAGGAGACCTTGAAAAAAGTGGAGGAGAAATCCACAAGGGACTAGCTGGGTAGAAACAAAAAATCCTTTAGCTTGCTGGAAGAACAACCCTCCAAAAATCCATTGTTGGTATGCTCCTTATATTCTTTATAAGATCGTACAAATTTCTATCTTCTATAGTAATCTAGTAGATAAAATTGATAAATTGCAAAAAAAAGGAAAAAGCTTTTTGTGGGAAAATAGTTAAAAAAATTCTTAAAAATATTTACGAAAATAAGAAAGATGGCGGTGGCTGAAAAATATGAGGCATATGAATGCATCAGTGTGTCCATACTAGGATGAAAACTCCAAAATAATCTTTGGGTTCATGTTACTAAAAATAAATATCTTCAAAATTAAGGAAAAATTTTAGAATACAAACCTAGGTGAGTAAGGTTCAACTCTTGGAAA